GCCGAACTCCTAGCTCATGATGCAGAGGCAGCTGTTTGGTCCAGCTCTCAGCCAAGGTCCCCATGGTGGGCTGTGCAGAGGCAGGCCCATTCCTACCTTGAGGCGGAGGTCCTCAAGGCTGTGTGTCATGATGCCCTTCCGCACACTCCGGTCAGCACTGCTTACTCTGCAGGGCCGGGCCCTGGGGGCCTCCGGGCTGGGCTCTGACAGCAGCTTCTGGGTCACCACCGAGGTGCTGACTGCCACGTACCTGGAGGCCATTTGGAGCATCAGAATGAGCTGTTTGATGCCTCCCAGCCCTCAACGCACAGCAGGGTAACTTACCTCCCAATCCTCTAGGCTGAGCTCATCATATTCCTCCTCCCCTACCACCCACCAAACCTGCTCTAGAGAGTCTTCCTCAAAAGCCTGCTGGATTGGTGCATCTTTTTTAAAAAAAAAAAAAAAAAAATTATTTATTTATTTTGGCTGTGCCAGGTCTTAGTTGCGGCACGCGGTATCTTCGTAGCGGCATGCAGGATCTTTAGTTGCAGCATGCGGACTTCTTAGTTTTGGCATGTATGTGGCATCTAGTTCCCCCACCAGGTATCGAACCCGTGCCCCGTGCATTGGGAGTGTGGAGTCTTACCCACTGGACCACCAGGGAAGTCCCTGGATCAGTGCATCTTAAACTTTAGTGGACACGTCACTCCCCTGGTGATCTTGTTAAAGTGCAGGTTCTGATTCAGTAGGTCTGGGTAGGTTCTGAGATTCTATGTATGTAATGAGTTCCCAAGTGATATTGACACTGCTGGGTTTCCGACCATGACAAGTAGCCAGTGATAGAAGACTATCCCACATTTGCCCAATTACCACTTTCCTCTCTTAGCCTCATTCTTCTCACCTGTAATGTGAGACGAAGTGGCAAAGCTGAGGTCAATATAAGACAGTTTTGAACTCAGATACACGATGTAGAGCAAAAGGAGTGCAGTGAACCTAGATTTTGGAGTCAGGCAGACCCAAGTTCGAACCCTGACTCCACTACCCATTTGCTAGGTGACTGAGACAGCCCACCCTGTGCCTCGGTTTCCCCATCTGTTAATTTGGCATAATAATCCCCACTTCCCAAACTTGTGGTGAGGTTTAAATGAGATCAATAATCAAAGCATCAAGCAGTATCTACCTCTTTCTACTCAATGTGTGATATGGGGGACTCTGGGGGGAGAGACAGCAGCATTAATATCTCCTGGGGGCTTGTGGGAGGGGCAAATCTTGGGTCCCACTCCAGACTTCCTGAATCAGCACCTGCATTTGAATAAGACACCCAGGTGACTTATGTGCCCATCGAAGTTCGAGGTCTGCCCTACAGCTCACGGTAGCTCCCCTTTCCTTCCATGCTTGGCTCTCCTCACCTGGAGAGGGACCTGGGGTAGAGAAGGCTGAGGGACTTCATGGCGTATTCCATCCTCGTCAGCTGGACAGTGTTGGGCCTGGGAAGGAAGGAGAGACAGCTCCTTGGGTGGGGATGGGAGGGTTCCCTCTCTCTTGTCTTTTGATACAGAACAACCCCACCTCCATCCAGCAAGCCTCTGCTCTGGTCTCCCCTAGCAGCTCACACACACACCTCCCCCAGCCCTTCCCCTGTCCCACCCATGTACGCCACCGTGACCAAGCTGGAGACCCCCTTAGTGCCCAGATTCAGCCCCGCCCAGCAGCCGCTCCTCCCTCCCCGGCACCACTCACTCCATGTTTCTCTGACCCTGGCTCTGGTCACACTGATGAGGGTTCACAAGTCGGGACTGAAGAGGCCCTGCCTGGTTAGTTCCTGTCCCTGGGGGCAGAGTTCACTTTACGCTGGCAGGAGGCGAGTCACACCACCTTGCACTGCTGGGGACCTTCCCTCACCTGTTGTTCAGAGACCTCCCAGGCCAGGCAACCCAGTCTAAGCCTGCTCTCTCCAGTGGGTCCTTGAGCAATCCGAACCCCTCCTGAGGGTTCCTGCTGGCCAGAGACTTTCTACCACGATGGAACCGTTCTACATCCGTTCTCTCCAATACTGGAGCAGCTAGCCCCACATGGCAACTGAGCCCTTGAAGTGTGGCCGTACGACTGAGGAGCTGGATTTTTATTTTTATTGAATGTTAACTAACTTAAATGTACACAGCCACTGTGGCTCAAGGCTGCTGGCAGCCATTCTGGGCACTAGCCGACGGCCCTGGGCTGACCTGCCAGCCCTTCTCTCCTGAGCCTGCTCCATCTAGCTCCTGCAGGCTCCAAGCCCTCCTGCAGACAGTTCCTCCACCTGTAATGCCTCCCTTGGCCCAGGGCTAAAAGTATGCAGCCCTGAAGCCCGAGTTTCATTGTTTCCACCTCTCAGAAAGCCTTCTTAGATGGCTCACAGAATTTCCCATTCATCCTTGCCCTTCCTCCTTCCTAGCCAAGTGGGCCTCAGTGTCTGCTTCCGCCATAGCAGCCCCGCTCCTTGGGTGCCTCGCCCTGAGATGTTCTCCCTTTCCCAGCCCCCATGCAGGCAGGGCCTGCCTCAGAGTCAGGGGCTCAAGGAGTGCATGGAACACAGCCCCCTCCCCAGTCTTTCCTTCTGACAATGCAGGGACCACCCCACGCCAGCCTGTCTGAGAAAGCCCTCTCCCCCACTTAGCACTACCCACATCAGCTTGCTTCAGCCTCCCTCCTCACTCCCAATTGCAAAACTCCACCCAGCCCCACCTCACTGGTTCTCTAGGAGCCAGAACGAAACCAAAACAAAAAACCCAGAATAAGAAACTCCTTACCTCCCGCTTCTCAGCCTCCTAACCTTCCAATACTGCCCTGCTCAGCCCAGCCCTCCCTCCATTTTATTTCCAGCTCCCAAGGCAGCCCCTCCCCTGGCCTCAAGCCCCAGCTGGAAAAGAGCACAGGCACTGAGTGTGCAGCTCTCACCCTTGGGATATCAAGCCAGCCTCACTTCCAGAAAAAGCCAGAAAGGAAGGGTGGAGGCATGTTTCGAAAGATTTGGGGCAGGGTATGGCCCAGGACATGGTATTGGGCACACAGGGCACAGGAAACAGGCAGGTGTGCATGGTGGTCCCAGCTCTACCCATGTTAACTGTTGGAGTGTAGACAAGTTCCCTTAACCTCCTGAGCCCCAGTTTCTCTCACCTCTTCAACAGAGATAATGATTCCTGTCTTAATGATCCTGACCGAGGTAAGGATTTATAATAACCAAAGTAAAGGGCTTTGCAACAGAGATACTTAATAGATAGAAACAAATATTGGTGTTATTGATAATATAATTATTTAATAACAGCAGATAATTTAATAATAATAATAAAGACTAGCTGAAATGTGTAGTGGTTAAGAGTGTACAATCTATGACCCAGAAGTTCTACACATACCTAATATTTGGAGTTATATATATATATCCAAGGGAAATGAAAATCTATGTCCACACAAAAACTCATACAGGAGAAACTTCATAGTGTTATTCATAACAGGCAAAATGTAGAAACAACCCAAATGTTCATCAGTTAATGAATGGATAAAAAACAGTGGTATATCCATAAATGGAATATTATTTGTCCATCGAAAGGATATATGCTACTACAGTACATGGACAAACGTTGAAAACATTATGCAAAGTGAAATCACAAGGGATTTATTATACAAACATTATGCAAAGCCAATCACAAGAGATCACATACATACTTGTATCATTCCACTTGTATGAAATGGCCAGAATAGACAAAACTATAAAGACAAAAAATTAATTAGTGGTTGTTTAGAGGGGCTGGGGAGTGGAAGGGGAATGGGAACTGCTAGTGGGCATGGGGTTTCTTTCAGGGGAGCCAAAAAAAAAGTTCTAATCTAGTAATCTAAACACAATCTACTTTGATGATTGTGCTAAGTCTATTTGGAGGTTGTACAACCCTGCAAATATACTAAAACCATCGGATTGTACACCTAAGTGTGTATGGTATATGGATTATATCTCCATAAAGCTGTTTTAAAAAAAAGAGTTCAACCTCACCTTTCTTTTAGAGTTGGGTTTTTCACACTAGTGCATCAGAATCACATGGAAGACTTGTTAAAGATTAGATTGCTGGGCTCCACCACAGAGTTTCTGACTCAGTACATCTGGGGTGGGGCCTAAGAAAGTGTATTTCTAAGAGTTTCCGAGGTGATGCTGACACTGTGGCTACTTAGGGACCCTATTTTGAAAACCAGCAGTCTAGTACTAGCTGTGTGATGTAACTCATCTAAGCTTCAGTTGGATCTAACAGATGGGGATTAAAAATGTTTCCTACCCCACTGGGTTGTCATGAAGATTAAATGAGATAATCATGAAAAGTACTTGATATAAAGTTTAGGGCACCCTTCAGGCTCAATAAATAGCTATAATCATCATCATCCTATTACTTATATCTAAATCCTTCCCTATAAAAGCTTTCAGGCAACCATCATTCACTCACTCAACAAATACTTATTAGGCACTTACCGTGTGCCAGCCTTCCTAGGGTCTGAGAATACAGCAGGAAACAACACAGCCTTGTCCCACACTTCAAGGAGCTGACATTCCTGGAGGAAGGGGGAACTCAGACCGTGAACAAATATGCAAATAATCAAGATAATTTCAGATAATGATATTCTGGGAAGAAAACAACACAAAGTGATATGATAGCAAATGGCTGGAGAGCTATATTGGCCTCTGGGCTTGAGAAAGGCCTCAGGGCTTCCCTGGTGGCGCAGTGGTTAAGAATCTGCCTGCCAGCGCAGGGGACACGGGTTTGAGCCCTGGTCCGGGAAGATCCCACATGCCGCGGAGCAGCTAAGCCCGCGAGCCACAACTACTGAAGCCCGCGCACCTAGAGCCCATGCTCCGCAATGAGAGAAGCCACCGCAGTGAGAAGCCTGCACACCGCAACGAAGAGGAGCCCCCGCTCGCCGCAACTAGAGAAAGCCCGCACGCAGCAACAAAGACCCAACGCAGCCAAAAATAAATAAATAAATAAACTTAAAAAAAAAGAAAGAAAGAAAGAAAGGCCTCAGAGGTGAGCTTTCAGCTAAATCCTGACTGATGAGAAGTCAGTCTTTTCAAGACCTGGAGTGTCTTGGTCTGTTTGGGCTGCTATACAGAATACCATAAACTGGTGGCTAATAAGAAACTTATTTCTCATAGTTCTGGAGGCTGACAAGTCCAAGATCAAGGTGCTGGTAGTTCTGGTCTCTGGTGAAGACCTTCTTCCTGGTTCATAGAGAGCTGTCCTCTCTCTGTGTCCTCACCTGGTAGAAGGAGCAAGGGAGTCTCTTTGATAAGTACACTAATCCCACCACCCCAAGTTCCACCTCCAAATACCATCACGTTGGGGATTAGGTTTCAACATATAAATGGAGGCAAGGGTGGGGGACACAAACTTTCAGTCTATAGTGTTCCACCCGGGACTGGAATCATCTTTTGAAGTCCTGGAGGTGGGCTGGGGGCATTCAAGGCAAAGGAAACATCGGTGCAAAGGATTTCAGAAGAGAATGAGCAGGGTGAGGAGACAGGAACACAAATCACTAAACTTCAAGACAGACCAAGAGCCAGAAGAGAAGTACCAATACTTCAGGGAGGAAGTTCTGGGGAAAGGGCTGGGGCCCCTCCCTTGGACATTCATGCCTCTAATATTTATTGAACATCCAACATGTGCCTAGTGTCTCATGATAAGTCAATGGATGACTCAGAAGCAGTCTGACTCAGAAGCCCTGATGAACATCATGGAAATCACACACAGAAAAGAAAAAGATAAGCACAAGCTAAAGCCAGAGAGTGTCTGTGGGGGATGGAGGAATGCTTAGTGAACCTGAGGATTCTTCACAGTGCTTAGGAGAAGAGGATGGTTTTGGCTCATTCACAATTTATGTATTCAGCAAGCATTTCTTTTTTATTTATTTATTTCTTTATGGCTGCCTTGGGTCTTCGTTGCTGTGCACGTGCTTTCTCTAGTTGCGGTGAGCAGGGGCTACTCTTCGTTGCAGTGCACGGACTTCTCATTGCGGTGGCTTCTCATGTTGCAGAGCACGGGCTCTAGGCACGCGGGCTTAGTAGTTGTGGCACACAGACTCAGTAGTTGTGGCTCACGGGCTCTAGAGCGCAGGCTCCGTAGTTGTGGCGCACGGGCTTAGTTGCTCTGCAGCTTGTGGGGTCTTCCTGGACCAGGGATCGAAGCCGTGTCCCCTGCAGGCGGATTCTTAACCACTGCGCCACCAGAGAAGTCCTGATGACTCGGTTCTTACCCGTCTCTTTGAGGCACTCACCTCTAGTCTGGGAGGCAGATGTCTGAGTGTGGTTCCCAAATTCTGAAATGCATAAAATCATTTGAGCACCTTCGAACAGAGAAGGACTCTAGTTATGAAGCAAAATTGAGAAGCCAAAAAAGAAAAGACTATATATTCAACCTTATGAAAAAACTATTCTGCATGTTAAAATTGTAACACCATGAGTAAAGTCAAAAGACATACATGAGTAAAGTCAAAAGACATACCTATAATAGGAAAAATATATGGCAACTAAAATTATAGACAAGAGGTCATCTCTCTCTCTCTCTCTGCCATCTGTATATAAATTAACAAGACCAACAATGCAGTAGAAAAATGGACAAAGGATATGAACACAGTTCAGGGAAATGAAATACAAATGACTCAAACATAAAAAGATACTTCAGTTTTTTCAGATACAATTTTGAAATTCTTATTTTATGTATTTTTTTAGTGGAAAAATGTACATAACATAAAATTAACGATTTTTAAGTATACAGTTCAGTGGCATGAAGTATATTCATACAGTTGTGCAACCATCATCACCACATTCCTTGGCAACCACTACTCTGCTTTCTGCCTCTGCCTAATTTCTTTTTCTTTCATGGCCTTGACATTTCTTAAAAGTATAGTCCAGTTATTTTGTAGAATGTCCCTCAATTTGAGTTTATCTGTCACCTCTTCATGATTAGATTTAGGTTAAGTATTTTGGGCAAGAATATCACCTCAGTGATGCTGTGTCCTCAATATTAGCAGGAGGCATAAGGAGTCAGTTTGTCTCACTCCTGGGCAAGTTAACTTGATTACTTAGTTAAGGGGGTGAGTGCCAGGTTTCTCCACTGTAAAGTTACCGTTTCTTCTTGCAAAGATTAATCTGTGGGGAGATACTTTGAGACTTTGAGTGTGAAAGATGCACGCTCTTGGGAAAGTCACAGATCCCTTCCAGGCATCAGTTTCTCCATCTGTGAAGTGGGAACAGAGACGTCTTAAACTCGAATTAGAGTTAAAGAAAGTGTAAGTGCTCGAGAGGCTGGAGTATCAGCTCCCGACCTTGGCAAAGAGAAAGACGTGCTAGCGCTTAATTTTCTGCGCGCTCCAAACGCTGGGGAGAGACAGACAGGGCGGGGCCAAGAAGAAAAGCGTGTGCGTATGTGTGCGCGTGCGCAGGGACGTGACTACAGAGTCGGTCCTCCGGAGACAGAGAGGCCGGAAGTTATCCTCACAGAACCGCTCGGCTGTTGGGTGGGCGGAGCTGAGGCGGCGCGCTTAGGGTTGGCAGGCATGTTGGCGCCCTAGTCGCTGCAGCTGGTTGGCGTGAGGGGCTCCAGGGCTCTGGGCAGGGAAGATGGCGTCTCGGGCAGGCCCGCGAGCGGCCGGCACCGACGGCAGCGACTTTAAGCACCGGGAGCGAGTCGCCACGCACTACCAGATGAGGTATGAAGTGAGGCGAGGAGCTCGCAGGGCCTGGGACGCGACGCCGGCCCGGCCTTAGGGTCTTGCTCCCCAGCCCGCTCTCGCGCACCTGCCAAGTCCCCTCCTCCTGCGACGGCCCGGGGCCGGCCCCCAATCCCGGGAAGCCCCGTCGCTCCTGTGAGTTCCACCCATTGATCCCGCTGTGCCTTGAGGGGTTCGGCCCCGCCTGGGCTCCGGTGTCGCGGCGATGCTGGCCCCGCTCTCTGATCTCGGGAACCTGATTTCTAATTGAGCCTCAGTTTGCTTATCTGGCAAGGGGAAATTAATCTACCTTTTCGGTCTTGGTGATGAATTAGTGAGCCAATAATCGCGTAAAGAGCGTAGCATAAGATCTAGCACATAAGTCTGCCCAGTACGCGGTAGCTGTTATATTTTGGGTTGCTTTGGGGATTTGGACCTTGAAGTCCAGACTTAACTCTGCCTCAAATGAGTTTTATGAAACTCCCCACGTAAGGGATATTTCTACATTCGTTTATTCGTTCAACAAATATTTATTGAGCTTCTGCCCATCAGGCATTGTGCTAGGCCCTGAGGATAGCATAGCGAAAGCAGCCCTGGTCTTTGTATTCATGTTATACCTTCAATAAAAAAGTCTATTGACAAACAAACAAAACTGGTCCCTGCCTTCATGGAGCTTGAAGTCTACAAGTGACTGATTCCCCTCCCGCCCCACCTTTCTGCACTTTCTCTAACGAATATTTTTAAAAATAAAAATTATTTAGAGATTTTCTTTACTTAAATCCATTGAAATTTCCCTGAATCTTTTCCACGTCTTTTTCTCCACAGTTTTAAAGAATGTCAAGCTCTTTGAAACCTCACTTTATTCTTATCCTTAGACCCTTGTCTAAAGGGCATCTCACAACTCAAGCCAGTGTTTTCATGCCTGTCTAGAGCAGAAACTCTGCTCTATGAAGGTGTGAAGGGGATATATTTAGGACCTGAGAGAATTCAAAGAATAAGAGAAAATATCCTTACTTTAGACGAAAAATGTACTCTAGCTGGAGAAGTACGGGCAGCCTGAGTTGGTTTCCTTGCTGCCAATACCTCCTTCCATAGGCTATCCTCCTATGCCACAGTCAGAGTTCTCTTTCATTTTTTTTTTTGGCCACGCCATGGGGCTTGCAGGACCTTAGTTGCCTGACCAGGGATTGAACCTGTGGCCTTGGCAGTGAAAACCCAGATTTCTAACCACTGGACTACCAGGGAATTCCCCAGAGTTCTCTTTCTAAACACAGCCCTGAGTTACTCTTCTGTCTTTAAAGTGACTCAGTGATAGTCTTTGCAACTTCATGTCCTGCTACTCCCCTCTCCACCACAATGTAGTCCTTCCACACCCAACCATTTGCTCTCCTGGAACACAAATGCTTATGCCTTTTTGCTCGCATGCTGTTACCTCTGCTTGGAATGTCCATCTCTACCCACGTCTCAGAGACTAGCTCAGATAACACCCTTGTCCAGACAGCTTTCTCAGTCAACTCATCTCAATCAGAATTCATTAGTCCTTCCTGTGATTCCATATATTTTGCAACATAGATTTACTAGAGTTTTTCCAGTTTGTTTTCTAATTGCTTTTTTCTTCCTGTGTACCTTGTTCCCAGCCTCCAGGCAGGAACTATACCGTATTCACGTCTGTTTCCCAGTGTCCAGTATAGTTGCCTGACATAGAGTTGGTGGTCAGAAAATTTTGAATGAAAGGTACTTCTCCCTCTGCTCTGCCCCACAGTGTGACCCTCAAGTATGAAATCAAGAAGCTGATCTACGTGCATCTGGTCATATGGCTGCTGCTGGTTGCCAAGATGAGCGTGGGGCACCTGAGGCTCTTGTCGCATGATCAGGTGGCCATGCCCTATCAGTGGGAGTACCCCTATTTGCTGAGCATTGTACCCTCCCTCTTGGGCCTCCTCTCCTTCCCCCGCAACAATATTAGCTACCTGGTGCTCTCGATGATCAGCATGGGGCTCTTTTCCATCGCTCCCCTCATATATGGCAGCATGGAGATGTTCCCTGCTGCACAGCAGCTCTACCGCCATGGCAAGGCCTACCGCTTCCTCTTTGGTTTTTCTGCCGTCTCCGTCATGTATCTGGTGTTGGTGCTGGTGGTCCAGGTGCATGCCTGGCAGTTATACTACAGCAAGAAGCTCCTAGACTCTTGGTTCACCAGCACACAGGAGAAGAAGCGTAAATGAAGCCGGCTCGATGAACTACTGTGTGAGGTGAAGCCTGGGCCTCCCATCCAGTGGAGTGAGGGTAGAGGAGCTGTTCTGAAACCTCCTTCGGTGATTTTGGCAGCTGCGATGTTGGCAACTAGTGCAAACTAGGTCCAAGTTCAGCAAAGCCCCTTCTGTTGCCATCAGCTGGTAGCAAAACTATGTTTAATTTACTCCTGGCTGGTGGAACTGGGTGATCAGCAGCTGTGAAACAAATTTCAGCTGGTTGAAGTTGAGATCCTTCTGGAGCTTTTCATCCTTGCCTCTTCTTGGTCATCCTCTCCGCTTCCATCCATCACCCCTTAGCCACCGAGACTGAAGGAGATAGGGAATAAATCACATTCTGCTTCAATCCATGAGTCATGGGGCAGGAAACATTTGAGGGGCTGCTCCCCTTGCAGGCTGTGGTCTCTACTGTGAAGCATTTTAATGAAAAAGAACCTCAATAAAGTTACAACTGCCTTGTCCCCCCTGTGCTTTGAGTTCGGCATCTGATAGAGTGTGGAAAGTGTGTTGTTTGAGTGGCCTTAGTCACTAGGAGGTACGTAGAGGCTCCCCGAGAAACCTGGCAGTGGCGGTGGGGAAGTGAACTGGACATAGGGAACTTAAGTCATAGTTGCAACCCTGCAGCTGATTGGCAGGAACTACTGTGGGCCACACATTTCACCTCCACCTCTCAAATGGTCCATTCTCATTTATCCAGCTTGGGTTATGGGTTCGTCTTTTGGTTGGATATTCATGTTTATCATTCAGTGTTAACAGTGTTAGTTATGTGTCTAATACTGTTTTATGGTATCCAAAAGAATTTTAAAGTATCCTGCATATGGAAAGTTTGCAATCTAGGTGAAACGTAATATACATGTGAAACAACTAATGAACACAGTATGTCTGGTGTGGAGCAGAGAAGTTAAAAATAGAAGTGGGGGGCTTCCCTGGTGGCGCAGTGGTTGAGAGTCTGCCTGCCAATGCAGGGGACACGGGTTCATGCCCCGGTCCGGGAAGATCCCGCATGCCACGGAGCGGCTGGGCCCGTGAGCCATGGCCGCTGAGCCTGCACGTCCGGAGCCTGTGCTCCGCAACGGGAGAGGCCACAACAGTGAGAGGCCCGCATACCGCAAAAAAAAAAAAAAAGAAGTGGGAAAGAGATCTGTGAACTAAAGGCCCTTTCACATATAAAAGTCTGACACGGTAAATATTTATTGCATGAAAGATGTGTGTTGGGCTTCCCTGGTGGTGCAGTGGTTAAGAATCCGCCTGCCAATGCAGGGGACACGGATTGGAGCCCTGGTCAGAGAAGATCCCACATGCCACGGAGCAACTAAGTGCGTGCACTACAGCTACTGAAGCCTGCAAGCCTAGAGCCCATGCTGTGCAACAAGAGAAGCCACCGCAATGAGAAGTCTGCACACCGCAACAGAGTAGCCCCCGCTCGCCGCAACTAGAGAAAGCCTGCGCGCAGCAACAAAGACCCAACGCAGCCAAAAATAAATAAATTTATTTAAAAAAAAAAAAAGATGTGTGTCCCTTTGCTCTTACCCACTTGACTTTATCGTGTCTGGATGATGCCCAGATCTCTAACTGCAGGTCTCTGCCCTTTCCAGAGTTATAGTCATTCTGTTCTATAAACATTAGGTATGGGGCTTCCCTGGTGGCGCAGTGGATAAGAATCCGCCTGCCAATGCAGGGAACATGGGTTCGAGCCCTGGTCCGGGAAGATCCCACATGCCACGGAGCAACTCAGCCCGTGCACCACCACAACTACTGAGCCTGCGCTCTAGAGTCCATGAGCCACAAATATTAAGCCAGTGAGCCACGACTGCTGAGCCAGCATGCCACAACTACTGAAACCCACACGCCTAGAGCCCATGCTCTGCAACAAGAGAAACCAGCGCAATGAGAATCCCGCACACTGCAACGAAGACCCAACACAGCCAAAAATAAATAAAAAACAAAAACATTAGGTATGTACTCAGTCTCTATTAGGTACTGGCAGTACTTTTAGGTATACAACCTTTAGATGTCCTGATTATCATTTCAAACTCAGTGTGTCCTAAACTTAACTCTTTGCCTTCTACCTCATATTCATTCCTCTTCCTGCATCCCTGTGTGCAAGTGAGTATACCAAGAGTACAGCTCTGGATCATCAAGTCCCTACTATGTGCCATTATTTTTTTTCTTTTCTTTCTTTATTTTTGGCTGCGTTGGGTCTTTGTTGCTGTGCGCGGGCTTTCTCTAGTTGCAGCGAGCGGGGGCTGCTCTTTGTTGTGGTGTGCGGGCATCTCGTTGTGGTGGCTTCTCTTGTTGCGGAGCACGGGCTGCAGGTGTGCCGGCTTCAGTAGTTGTAGCATGTGGGCTCATTAGTTGTGGCTTGTGGGGTCTAGAGCACAGGCTCAGTAGTTGTGGCGCATGGGCTTTGTTGCTGCTTGGCACGTGGGATCTTCCCAGACCAGGGCTCAAACCCCTGCTACCTGCATTGGCAGGCGGATTCTTAACCACTGTGCCACCAGGGAAGCCTGATGTGCCATTATTTTTTGAACAACCAAAATTCCTTAATCCTTTTCAGACATTTCCAAAGAGTGGTTCCAGTGCATCACTCCTGATTTATCTCCTGACACTGTCGCTCACACACTGTCTGTCTCAGTCAGGAAAACCTCTTATGAATCCCCATATTGGTTCCATGTTTTCCCAGTTTCCTTAAAAATTTTCCTTTTCTGCTTTTATACTTCTTTATTACTTCTCTTTCAAGACGTAGTTTAATACGGTAATTCTGGAGCCTTCTGGCTACTTCACTTCAAGGAGTGAGGGTTCTTTCTTTGAATTCACATAGCATTTTAATTTTATCTCTTCTACTGACAGAATTACTAGTTTACATGTCTTTTCCTCACCCCTTGCTCTGTACCTAATGTGCATCATGCACTCTGAATTTATTGAATGAAGTAACTTGTGCTATTGTAGACTAAAGTCAGAGCAAAGAACTAGAGTGAAGGGTAGGATTTGGATAGCAGAGAGGTGCAGATGGAAATGAGTGAGTAATGGAGTTATGTGCACCGGGCACAGATTGCTGATTTTTAAAGAACCGGGATGTAAATAATTATTAGTTAAAAAAAAGAATTTAAAATTTATTTGAGGGCTTCCCTGGTGGCACAGTGGTTGAGAGTCCGCCTGCCAATGCAGGGAACACGGGTTTGTGCCCCGGTCCGGGAAGATCCCATATGCCGCGGAGTGGCTGGGCCTGTGAGCCATGGCCGCTGAGCTTGCGCTCCGCAACGGGAGAGGCCACAACAGTGAGAGGCCCACGTACCGCAAAA